GAGACCGAGAAAATATTCACAAAATTGATCAACTTCTGGAAAAAGATGATCGTTTTCTAAATCATATTTCATGCATTTCTTTTTTCAAAATGTCCTGAACATCAGGAGAACGGTCTTCAGAGTCAACAGTTGCAAAGAGTGACCGTTTGATCGTCCATCTAAATCAATTGTTTGTAAGATTTCTAGTGACAGAATTCTGTAAATTCAATTTAAAGAAAGCACCAGATGTCCTTAAGCATAATAGACATCTGTTTCCCAACAACACAAACTTGCTTTGTGCCTCTCCAGAAATCTAAAACAGTTTTTACTTTCTCGTTCAAGAATTTCAGCACATTCCGTCTGCAAGAACCACAAGCAAGAAGCTTCAAATGCACTTTTTGGCGCAAACGGACGCTTCTCGCCTCAAAAGACAACTACGTGGCCACTATGATATCATTTATATCATCGACTCCTCCAGCTCGATCAGCAGGGCTGAATTCCAGAAGGGCATCAAAGCCATTCAAATGTTGATTGACAGGGGTGCAGCAGACTCTGTACACGCAGCTATTACAGTAGCCAATCAGGCGCATACTGTCTTCACATTTACTACCAGTGAAAAAGCCAATGAAAAACTGGAGAGACTGCAAAGAACCGGCGGAAAAACAAACATGCAAGAGGCGTTAGAGAAAAGCTTACGACTTTTTCAAAATCTTGGCAGCGGAGCCCGGGCCGGAAGTTTCAAACGCGTTCTGGTTGTGACTGATGGACAGTCCAACGTGAAACCGAACAAAACCCTTTTGAATGCCATGGACCTGAAGCTCAACGGGGCAGAGATCTTTGTGATTGGAGTAGGAGAATACTTGGATGGAATTTATGAATTGGCGCACCTAGCTAGTTCATTGGATGCGCATTTATACAGAGCTGGTGACATGCAAGGTCTCGTTGAAGTTGTCAAACTCGTAACACCGGTCAGTTACAGACGCAGTTGGGAATCAGAAGTCATGAAGATAAGGCAAGCAGTCATACTTGGAAGGCAATAATGTTTATCCATGTCCATTATGAATGATAAATGCGTGTGCTCAAATCACAATGGAAAAGGCTATCATTTGTTATTTTTTGGTAATTAGAACGTTGGTCTGTTAGTGGCCCTTTTGCCATAAC